TAGTTATACACAGTATGAAACATAAATACTTTTCCTGCGTTTATACAATAAATGTGTTTTATTTACAATAACATTGTTTGTTACATCATATTTAAATATATTATTAACGCATATAATATCTATACATGCTTCAAAGAGAATATGCTTAAAACTTAAATTTAAATGTCTACTTAAACATAGTGAAAAACATATATCTAAATAAATGTAGTAAATAAAAAAAACTTCGTATTGCTATTTTATGTAGTAAATTTACAAATTAACTGAAAAAGAAGGTTGTATATGCTTTGCTTGAAAGTTGTTTATAAATATGCTGGTACGCATAAAACTCACAACTAAACCACGTCACAGGCCCGCGATTCGTATGAGAGCACTGGATGTAGTACCTATAAGGTCACTAAAATATTTTGGCATCTGTGTTCTAACTACAATCAATGCTATTTAAAATCAAGCTGCTTTAAGGAATATGGAGGGCAGAGGCGGTCCTATCTTCTATGCTATGGAACTAAATTCGGAAAACAGCAATCCCACAGATAATAATAATTTTCCATAGACAATAAAGGATAATTTCTACCAAAACTGGGACAGATATTTACCATAATAATTGAAAGGTACAAATTTTTGAAAAATATTAAATCGCCATTTCTTCTTCAGACGAGATAATAAAATAAACAAAAGAGCGTGTAATGATCATTGTTATTTCTTATTGACTACATAGGGCGAACTTAGCACCGACATATAAAAATAACCCATTAACTATAACTCCGACAAGATAAGGACTAGGTATGGAATCAAAATCGTTGTCGTTGAAAAAAGTTATCGATCAGGTATGACGCACCATTAGAGTTTACTCTTTAAATGCCAAAGCCATCGAGTATAATGCCATATAGGCAGATGTCTATAAACGCGTTTGCCTTACAATACTGAAATAATGTAATAAACCATCTACTGTCATGTACGTGTACTGCGTCACAAAAAGTTATTTAAATTTTCAAATATTTTGGCGCTAACATAATTTTATGAGTTAAATTAAAATTAAAATTAACAATTCTAAACTAATATTTAAAGAATAGGTTAATTAATCAGGTAATGAATTAAATCAGTGCCTATTATGCCAAATTTTCTATTAACTCAAAATGTAGTAGGTACATAATATAAACGTAATGGAAAAGTCAGCTATTCTATTTTAATGAAAAATACGCTTTCTTGTCAACGCTTAATTTTACCGCCCGACAAATTGGTTGTTGGACTGAAAGTTCCAAACGAACAGTGTGCTTAGTGCCAGTTTTTTAACGTTCTCGATAGCGTAAAAGTTAATTGAAATTGTATGGAGTTGGAACGTTTGCCTACGTTTGCCGCTAGGGGCGCTGTTCCAACTCCATACAAATTTGAGTTAACTTTTACGCTATCGAGAACGTTAAAAAACTCGCACTAAGCACACAGATCCTTTTAACAGTAAACTCCAACAAATATAGCGGATGATCGAGGTGAAAAGTTCAAGATGAAATTTTACCTTTCCGCCCTAAACGGAGAGAAAAGACAAAAAGAATTAGTACCATGTAATTGCATTTTCAAGCCAAAATATTTGAAGTTTTAGTAATTTGAAATTTGTTAAAGGATCACAGCATTCGCGAGAGACCTTAGATGCAGTCTGTTACTGTTAGAATTTACAAGAGTCAATATTGCCAAGAATCAACCTTATACTCATGTTATTATCATAATATTGTCAGAGTAATAAAAGAAAAAAATTTAATTATGAAAATTTTAAAAACAAAAACCAAATGTGGTTTTCTACTGAATTCAAAAACAATAAATTGTTTATGATTCAATGCTTCAACGCAAAACAAAAATATTATGTATTAATAAAAAATAAAATGATATATGGAATGGTAATAAATGTAACACACATTGTAAAGGGTGACGAACATTCTTTTAAATTTAGATTAAAAAAACAAATAAAAAAAGGTAAATTACTTACTCGTATAAGACAAATCTTGTTTGTCTGTATCTTTAGGCATAGGCTGTAGGCGTAGGCATAGGTAGAAATAGGCAGGGTGGTGGTACCTACCCGTGCGGACTCACAAGAGGTCCTACCACCAGTAAAGACTTAAGACTACACAGCGTATAAAGCGTTATATTGACGAATAACAACAAACAAACTTATTTCTTTTCCTCTGTCGTCGCCGAACCCAGATCCACAAAGATAAGTTATCTATATTAATAATACCAGTCATAAACTAATTATTGCGTTTTAAAACAATACAAATAACAATTTTCAAATACATTTCGAGGGGTAAAGGCTATTTAGTTTAAGCGAGACTTTTGCAACATTACCAAAGAGCCATTTATAATTTAATATTTGAAAAAAATATAATAACTAATAGACCTTCTTCAGCTATTTCAATGGAGTAAACTAATTGATGTTCAATTAAAAATAGCTAACTGTTGATGGTAATCGATACATATAAATAAAATTGGAGTGTCTGTTTGTAATATTGAAATAACCGCTTTTTACTACATGCATAAATGAATATGTATACGGTACATACACCAAAATATTTTTTTTTACAATTTTTGTCTGTCTGTCTGTTTGTTCCGGCTAATCTTTGGAACGGCTGAACCGATTTTGACGGGACTTTCACTGATAGGTAGCTGATGATATAAAGAGTAACTTAGGCTACTTTTTTTTAAACTAGCTTCGCCCCGCGGCTTCACCCGCGGTACGACAATAACCGCGGGTAACATCGCGGGACTCAGCTATCAATAATAAAATTTAATGTTTCCGAAGCGAAGCGAGGGCGGGTCGCTAGTACCAAATAAAACGCACATTTAATTTACAAAGATAAATGTCGCGTATTAAAACGAAATGACGCTTAAACCAAAAAGCTATTGATGTGCCTTTGGAAAACATACAGCATTGTATTATGAAGAAGCAGTGTGTACTTAGCTTAAATTCCTTGTCTATGTCCAACCATAGACAGTCGATTTAGTTCCATCTTTAGCCGCTAGGTGCTGCCAGCAAGTATAAAGGAAGCGCAGCCATCTTTGATCTTCGTAGTCTTCACCAGGAAGAACTTCCTGCAATGCTGTATGTTTTCCTTCTCGGCACATAATATCGGTTTTATTGTTATGTAAAACCGTAATATTAAACCTCTCGATATGAGTTGTAGATATTGGAACATTGAAAAGAAAATTAACACAACACTTAACACGTACCATGTAAACATTTTACAACGTTCTAAAAATTAATTTTGTTACATTCTATATCATTTACTATTAAATATATCGCACATACGGTGCGATAACGTCACTTATGCAAATCACGTAATTTTTCAGGAGAAATGTTGGAAAATTCAACAACTTACTATATAATTCTTATATAGGCTCTACTAGGCTATAGAAATAAAATATGATAATATTTAAACTACAAACTTCATCAGTAAAAGCAAACGTCTCTCTTGTCTCACTAATAACTATTAAAAAATGTATTTTCTCATACTCAGTTCAGAGTTAACAAAAATTGCATAAGTGACTTTATAACACAGTATGTGCGATACTGTGTAGTTTACATGTGTAGTTTATTTTGTATACATGTGTAGTTTATTTTGTATACATATCAGTAAAGCAGTTTAGAAAAAACGCTTAAACACTAAGTAAGCAGAGTATTTACATAAAATTTTATTAAAAAGCATAATTATTTTTCTATCACAAGTACTGTGGTCCTATGCTTTTTTATGTAACGTATTTTTAGTCTTTACAAAGATTATTGCCAGGATACAAAAGAAATTTACTACCAATGAGAACCTATTAGTCCTGAGTTCTTTTTTTAAATCAATAGACAAAAGACTTTTTTTAAATTATTCTAAATTCAATCAGCACAATTTTTAGAAAGTCAGTGTTGCCTGTTTCTTTGGTATGTCCATATTATATATTAATGGCGTTTTATAATGGATTCCTCTTAATTATGGCAGTGACTAGGAAATATTAATTGAACATCGCGCCTGTAAAAGGGAAGGGATTTATAACAAAGAAATGGTTAGACATAAACCTTTTAAATTATAAAATTTATTCAAGAACATTGATGTAATTTTTTATTATTATTAACTGTATGGTATCTTTTAACTTTTATATAAAATCGTTTAGTTATTTATAATAAACGAGGCTTGTGGAGAGTACTTAATGGTAGGCAGCGGCTTGACTCGGCCCTTGGCATTGCTGAAGTCCATGGACGACGGTAACCACTCACCAATAGGTGGGCCGCATGCTCGTCTGTCTACAAGGGCAATAAAATATATATACACTTAAAAGAAACCGTATGTCTTTATTGTGTCATGCTATATTCCGGTGACACGACACAGTATGGAGAGGCTAATCATTAACGTACAAACAGAAGTTCCATTCATATCCCCGGCACTTACTATGTAATATAATGTTCTAATGAGCATTTTTCTTACAACAACAATTCTAGTCGAGAATTTTAACATACATATTTAACAGTTTTGGACGAATTTATTCACAATCATATTATTTATCTTTTATAGTCATGAGAGCAGAAAGAACTTACTGATATTATAATAACGAAGTTAGTATGTTTGTTACGTCTTAATTAATTATAGAAAAAGTTTATTTTCTTAATTCACAGGAGTGAAAGCTTTTGCAAAAGCTAGTTGAGTAAAGACTCATTTGTCAACATTAAAGATAATACGCCTTGAATATGTTTTTATATTTCTTATTATAACGAGACTAGTTTTTCCCTCGGGGATTCCCCAGCCTATTTGGTAACGCGTGGTCATAAACCAGTGCTTGACAGCGGGACGAAAGGTAGCCTATAATTATTTTCCAGACTTCAGACTACTCGCAAACCAGTAAAAAATTTTTTCATTAACTTCAGTGGTTTTGGACGTAAAAACCAAACAAATTAAATTCGTATTTATAATATCAGCATAGATGTAAGTTTATATTAAGGATTTTTTAAAAAAAAATATACACATTCATGTCCCGGTTTTAATATACGTCTTTCATTTTCTAAACCTCAAACATCGTTTAACGAATAATGAAAGAAAGAAAACAAAAAAACAATTGCCCGCACTGACATAAATATATCCTAAATCCAAAAGCTTAGGATATGAAAAAACTTTCATAATAAAAAATCAATTTTGATTTTTCTTAAAATTTCAACAAGACAAACTGTCAATTATTATGGCAACACTGTTGACATTATATATACATTTTTATAAAAGTAACAAAAGTAACAAAATTGAGTAAGTCTTACACGTCTTTAAAATCAATATAGATTCCTATAGTTGTATACGAGTTTTTCCTGCGTCATGCGAAGCGTCGCAGGCGGTCGTCAGCAGATCATTACCTAAAATTATTGTAATTTAAATATTAATTACGAAAAAAAAAAGGATTACAATAATTACTCCTTACATTTTATGAAATAATAAAACTATAAGCCTAGCCAAACGAGAAGCACTACTATAATTGGTTCTAAACATATCTGCCGGACAATTATTAGCATGAATCTTAAAACAAATGCGTATATGAAATACGTACTAAACAAATGTTCACGATTGACTTCTACGGTGAAGGAATAACATCGTGTAATAAAAATCAAACCCGCAAAATTATAATTTGCGTCATTACTGGTGGTAGGACCTCTTGTGAGTTCACACGGGTAGGTACCACCACCCCGCCTATTTCTCCCGTAAAGTAGTAATGCGTTTCGGTTCGAAGAGTGGGGTAGCCGTTGTAACTATACTTGAGACCTTAGAACTTATATCTCAAGGTGGGTGGCGCATTTACGTTGTCTATGGGCTCCAGTAACCACTCAACACCAGGTGGGTTGTGAGCTCGTCCACATATATAAGCAATAAAAAAAAATCAAACCTATAACCTGCAACTAGAAGCACAACTATAATTGATTCTAAACATATCTGCCGGACAATTATTAGCATGAATCTTAAAACGAATGCGTATACAAGGAGTCGTCATGATAGACATTAACAGAAACGCCACCGCCCACCTTGAGACAGTTCCAAGTCTCAGTTCTATAATTCGGCTGCTCAAACTTTTTTTTTTTTTTTAAAACCTAAGCTGATAGCCTTGAGAGACTATTTCAGCGTAACCGTGGCTAGTAGGTGAGCTCACGGGGCTCAAACCTGACGACGTTGCTAACACGAACCCTAGCAAGAGCCGTGCTTCGCAGAATCTACCACCGGATCGGAAACGCGACCCACTGAAAAGATCCGGTGAGAAACTCAGTGGGCTGTGTCTGAGAGTTAATTTACTCGTCGAGCCCTTCGTCGCGAGCGACGGGTTCGACGAGAACGGTGACCGGTGCTTGAAGTACCTAAAAGCACCGTTAGTGGATCGGGAGGATCCGAAATGACGTGTTTGAGGCGACGTCGACTGCTTTCCATTCTGTCCGCAGGATCGGGATTGCTGCTCCACCCTTCAAACCGGAACGCGTTATGGTTTTCCTGAAGAAATAGGCAGGGTGGTGGCACCTGCACGTGCGTTCTTGACTTTTTAACCACATGAAGGTATGTCCTCGTAACTTACTAAAGTATTTAATTAGCGGTTGGTTCCAAATGTTCTTTCGGCATGGGAGGCAGGACGTGCACCTGTTTCGCCTTCCCCGCGTGGTATATTTGCCCCGGACTGAAGGGCTCCAGTCGCGGGTGGGATGAGCTATCTGCGAAAACATTGCCAATTACAAATCCGTGAAACAAACTCGGTAACGTATTCCAAGTGAATCATTTTCTAGCGCCGTTGTAGTTTAAAGGTCCTTTTTTCCTACCTAAGCTGGTAGCTTTTAGAAGCTAGGCCAGTGTAACCTAGCGAGTAGGTGAGCTCTAACCTGACGACGATGCTAACACTAACCCTAGCAAGAGCAGTGCTTCGCAGAATCTACCATTGAATCGAAAACGCGACCCATTGAGAAGATCAGTCGATAAACTCAGTGGGCTGTATCTGTGGGTTAATTTACTACGGGTTCGGCGATAACGGTGACTCGCACTTAAGCTACCTAAAAGCATCGTTAGTGGATCGGGAGGATCCGAAATGCCGTGTGATTAAAGGTCGATGAAACGACACTAGAAAAAGACGGACATACACGATTATAAGAGTGGGATGTAGTGCGTCTATAGGACTCTAAAGCAGGGGCTCCCAAACTTATTTTGTCTACTGCCCACTTTAAGAATAAATTATATTTTAGCCCCCCCCCCCGTTTGTTTACCTACTTACAAACCACTATAGCGAGCGCTCAGTCGGTGTCTAAGAGTCCTATATGAAATTACAAATGCCTCTCAAGCCACTACACAACGTCCCTATTTCTTTTCTAGGTCTCCTACCGCCCCCCCTTTAGGCCTGCAGCGCCCACAAGGGGGCGTTATCGCTCACTTTGGGAAAGGCTGCTCCAAAGGCTTCACTTGTATAGAAGTTAGTTCGAGGTGTTGACGTACCCTTGGTGTTGGCGGCGATGTACTTGGAGAGGCGGACCGTGGGCAGCGGCAGGTAGCCGGCCACCAGCGGCATCACGTCCAGCGCCACGCACTGCGGGTCCGCGCTCGCACACTCCGTCGTTATCACACCTGCCACGTTGTTACTGAGGCCGTCAGCGCAAAAGTGGCCTTTTTTTTCCCTTACCTAAGCTGATAGCCTTGAGAGGCTATTTCAGCGTAACCTTAACTAGTAGGTGAGCTCACGGGGCTCAAACCGGGAGTGTTGCTAACACTGGAACTAGCAAGAGCAGCTCTTTGCAGAATCTACTACCGGATCGGAAACGCGACACACTGAGAAGATCTGGCGAGTAACTCAGCGGACTGTGTCTATGGGTTAATTCGCTCGTCGAGCCCTTCGTCGCAAGCGACGGGTTCGACGAGGACGGTGACCGGTACTTGAGGTACTTAAAAGCACCGTTAATGGATCGGGAGGATCCGTAATGACGTGGAAAGTGGCCTAAGTTTACCATAGTTAGTATGGAGATAATGAGGTTTGAATTTACTTTTACACTGCTTCGTACGCAAAAACTATACGCACAAAAATAATGTTTACAACGTTTATTATCTATGGGTGAAACTAGCGATAGGATAGGCTTTGGATCAAAATTTATTGTTTTAATTAAATTGAAATATACATATAAAGCGCGTATATGAAAAATTATGGGTTATGCCACTTTTGCGCTGACGACCTCATATCTATGCGACTACACAGCTATCTCAACTTCAAAACGTCCGATGAACGTTACACACGCATCTGTTTGAAGTGAAACTACTTTAGGCGCGTTGAGAGTAAAATTTAACTCGCGACAGATTCATTACGGCTTGAGAGAAAAGATACAATTTAGGTAGAGTGAGAGTGAGAAAATAGACAGAGCGTCTCGCGAACCACTCGACCGTGGAGAGAGAGGGACAACGCGACCTAGATCGTTTTTCTTATACACAGCATAACAAGAGAAATTTGATTTAAGGATGAAAAATAAAGTAAACCACAATACTACACGCCGCAAAAGAAGTTCAACTTCTTTCACGTGCACCAAGTTGCACGCGCATCGTTTCATTTTTTACGTTACACACGGTTCACTAGAGCTCACGGGTTCATCCTGAGAAAATTTGCTAACACTGGCTTTAGCAAGAGCCGTGCTTCGCAGAATCTACCACCGGATCGGAAACGCGACCCACTGAGAAGATCCGGCGAGAAACTCAGTGGGCTATGTCTATGGGTTAGTTAGACAACATAACAATTTTAACCCTATGGTCTCATTTTCTGATTAACAAAAATAATTGTTTAACATTTGTTTAGATTACTATATTCGATTTGCTTCTTCAAAATGAATTTAATTATAATCTCACCCGCAGTTCGGCCCAGTACTGCCCACATCGTCTGATCTGCTAGGACTTCGTACATCAGTGACGTGTGCTCAGTTTCATTAACCTGTAACGATTGAAAAATATGAAGATTTCCAAGTGCATATATTTTTTGAAGATGTGTATTAGAAGAGTTTGAATTGTGTTTACGATTCGTGATATAATCAAAAAGATTGCTAAATTTAATCCGTTACTAAGGTAACATGATTGATAACATGATTTTTATTGCTTAGATGGGTGGATGAGCTCACAACCCACCTGGTGTTAAGTGGTTACTGGAGTCCGTAAACATATACAATGTAAATGCGCCAGTTACAATGGCTGCCTCACTCTTCAAACCGAAACGCATTACTGCTTTACGGCAGAAACAGGCAGGGTAGTAGTAGTACCTAGCCGTACGGACTCACAAGAGATCCTACCATCAGTAATTCCGCAAATTATAATTTTACAGGTTTGATTTTTATTACACGATCATGAACATTTGTTGAGTACGTATTTCATTACAAAAATTGGTACCCGCCTACGGGATTCGAACACCGTTGCATCGCTACCTACGAATGCACTGGACGTCTTAACCTTTAGGCCACGACGACTATGTCAGGTTTGCTTCGTATAGGTAACTAATTAACTACAGAGGGCTCGTGAGTCGTCCGTCCACTTGTGACAGCAACCTTTTTTTTATTTTTTATTTTATTGCCCTTGTAAGCTGACGAGCATACGGCCCGCCTGATGGTGAATGGTTACTGTCGCCCATAGACTTCAGCAATGCCAGGGGCAGAGCCAGGCCGCTAATAACTAACCCGTTGCACGTTGAGCTGCAAGCAGCACATCTGCGACGCCCTGCAGAAGTCCGACCCCTTGCAGGGCTCCAGCCTGGTCCTGACGACGAACAGCGTCGTGTAGTCCTGAATGTCGAAGGGGCAGACGAAGGGCCGCGCCGGCTCCTCGCCGCCCGTCGCCTGGTACTGCACGGAGAATATCGACTTCATCGGTCCCGCCTTCACCAGCGGATCCTTCAGCAGCTCCCACATGAAGGAGGCCGTCGTGCCGTCTGACGCTACCATCTGCAACGGAAATATGCTACTGGTAAGGGGGCGTTCAAGCAGTCTTTGGGCTACTCATACCCAAAAAACGGATAACGCTCTGCGTATACAATATAATAATGCCTTCAGGGCGTTGTTGAGGCTTCCACCTTATTGTATTGCATCAGGCATGTTCGCCGATGCGCACACCGATGACTACTTCGCGATAATGCGCAAAAAGGTGGCATCATTCATTATGCGTAGAGTAGGAGGAAGCACCAACAACGTCTTGAGGGTATTAGCTGAAAGACTGGATGGCCCGACCCTGGGTACGTTCCTCAAGTAGCATGTTCTACATGCTACTTGATGAGGCTGCCAGGGACGGAGTTGATAGATCTATTTAAATACAAACATAGTTCTTAAGTTATTTGTAATACTAACACAATATAAGACTGATGTCTTGAAATAAAAGTTTTTTTAATTTTTGTTTATTATTACACTTTATTTATATTTATTTAAAATCTTATTAATAACATAATGTTTTTTAAAAAAGATATTAAAAATACAATTTTCAAAAAACACTATATAAAAATAGATTGCCGCTGATGGCGGTGTCTACGACACAAGCCACCAGTGGTTAGGACTCCAAAGTGAGAAACCTCCTCACAATGCGTGCAGTATCGAGGGTAACTGCTTTCTGTATTAGGCCCTTAACCAAGCTGGATGACAAAAGTTTCTTAAGATGTTGATCGAAACTTTTCGCTATCAAGCCGTGTACCGACACAACAATTGGAACAATGTTATTTTTATTTATTATTATCAATTACGTGAGGCGTTTTTAAAACATATTTGACCCCCCTCTCCCTCCCCCCCCCTAATCTCACGCGAGATTCTTAAAAACTTCTAGACTTCCACCCATCTAAGCAATAAAAAATAAAAATAAAAAAAATACTTGAGAACTTCAAAACAAAGCAGGCTAGAACGTGTCCGCGCGTCGCTGTTATTCGGCTCTTTACGTCGCAATGTTTGCCGACTCGCACGTGTCGATAGAGCTAAATAATCGAGCGCTACTTCGCTGCGCTTCTGCGAAGTTCGGACGAATACGAAAAATACTATTTTCTCAGATTTGGTCATATTTTATTCTAGAAATAATTTTTCACGCAATTTCATACCGCAATATAAATACGTGATATTTGCCAAGACCCCCCCTCGCCCCTAAGTGAGATTTGGAAAGATTTAGCTTGATCCCCTCACCCCTAGAACACCTCACGTAATTAATGGACGCCCCCTAAGTAGATATTATTTTTCTATTGGATTAGTCACAGATGTCACAGCGTTTTTGTCCCATGAGGTTTTAATTCTGTTCTTTAGACCGCAATGCACGATAGTTTCGCGGCAGGAATGGACAGGATGGTGGTGCTCACGCGTGAGGACATACTACCAGTCAAATTGGACAGCCTAGGCTGCGTTTCAAAATGTGCAGCGTCTCTTTTTTCGTTTATTATTGCCTAGATGTGTAGACGAGCTCACAGCCCACCTGGTGTTAAATGGTTACTGGAGCCCATAGACAATGAATAGGCGGGGCGGTGGTGCCTACCCGTGCGGGCTCACAGGAGGTCCTATCACCAGTAAAACCAGTCTCACCATATGATCGCTCTTCTTTGGGTTCAAATCCGACACGGTGTTGTTACCGTCGCACTGCAGGCCGGCCTCGGTGAGCGCGAACTGGACGTAGTGCGCGACCGTCGACTTGAGCGTCACGTGCACGAACTTCCGGGTGTTCGAGGTGAGGAGGCGCCACGACGCGATCATGGGCGGGGAGAAGTGTAAAGGCACTTCCATTGCCGACTCCAACCAGGGGCACGTTATCCAAACCTGAAACAAAAATCGGTTGTCTGTAAAGTCGGTTTACTAACGATAGTTGAACGTGACAACGTCATTAGAAAATACTGATGGAATGGTTTCATTTTTCAAAATTTTAATTTTATTCGTTTGATAGATATTTTGTATGGATATAGAGAAGGAGGTAAATGAAAATCACTATTGAATTGATCGTGACGCTTCAATTTCTCTCATGACGTTTTCAATGTTCAAATTAGACTGGAATTGACTACGGCGTTCCATAATCGCGTCTTTGTTGTCGTCAAATAATTGGAGAGTTATTGCCAGTTTAGCCACGTGATCGTGGACCGCCTCAGAGCGAGGTAACGCCGCATGAGTCATGTTTTTTCGTGCGTGTAGCCGGCTCCATCGAATTATAAGACGTTGTCACGTCAAAAAAACAACAAAACTAACAAATTGTAACATGACAACTTCTATTTGAAACTTCTCCGAAACGAAAATGACACAGATTAGCGACTTTTCTAGTAACCTCGAAGGGTTATTTCAAATTCACCGAACTAATGGGTGAGCTCACGGGGCTCAAACCTGACGACGTTCCTAGCACTAGAGCAAGAGCAGTGCTTCGCAGAATCGACCACCGAATCGGAAACGCATCCCACTGAGAAGATCCGGCGAGAAACTCAGTGAGCTAGTGTCTATGAGTTCATTTACTTTTGGAATTCTTCGTCGCAAGCGACGGGTTCGGCGAGAACGATGACCGGAATAAGCGACAATGAAGAGACAAATGTAAGACACGAATCTATAAGACTCTGATCTTGGGAGGGAATGTAATATTCTTCTAAAGATTCTAATTCGACTCCAGCAAAAGCTTTTTTTATTTATTTCAATATTTTGCATTTTAATTAAGATAACAAATGTTACTATATTTTAAAATATGACTATAGCGACATCTCGTGTCGTTTAAGGTTCAAGAATGTATCATAGTTTTTTTTTCTCTAGATCGATTTTGTTCTTTTTTAATACCTAGCCTACACCAATTTCAATAAAAATAATGGATACAGTTAGTTTCAATAATAAAAATGTTACGTTCCCATTTTCTCCTTTTTGTCATACGATTTTTCTTAGCAATTTAATTTGTTTTTTAAACAAAGTCAATTTACAAATAAGAACTTAAAAGAATGTAGATTTTGAGACATCAGTGTTTATGGTCGAATTTCAAACACCGTTTGATTAAATTTTCTTCATTTCAAGTTTCACTATTTTATGCTAATCGAATATTAAGCAGCAGAGCACAATAACTGTACTCCAGTTAATGTTACTCACGACGTGCTCGACGCTCCTCTCCCTCCTGGGCTGAAGGCTGGCGAACAGGGTCAACGGTATCGTAGCCGTGTCGAAGGGCTCGCACGCAACCCGCACCGACACCTCGCGAGACATTATCGAGAACTCATCCGACAGCCGAATCAACAACCCAGATGTCGTCTTCAACGATATCTTCGAGTCCTGAAAGCGATCATGATTTTAGAAAAAAAAAAAAGTTTTATTATTATTTTATCTATACTAATATATAAATCTACAGAGGTTTTTACGGATGTTCCGTTATATCCGTATCCATGTAGAAAATATATGTACTTAATGGATAAGCTAATATGTATTTATATGAGTGTTGGACTCCCTAAACCAGTTGCCTTAATGATGAGAATCTTTGTGGAGGTGAGAAATAATAATGTTACTTGTAAATGTCCAGCGAAGCGGACGGGTACTGCTAGTTGCTTATATGGGTGAACGAGCTCACAGCCCACCGGTTTGTTAAGTGGTTACTGGAGCCGATAGACGTCTTCGACATAAATGCGCCACCCACCTTGAGATATAAATTCTAAGGTCTCAGTACAGTTACAACGACTGCCCAACCCTTCAAACCGAAATGCATTACTGCTAGGTGGTACCTACCCGTGCGGACTCACAAGAGGTCCTACCACCAGTTCGTGTTGTCGAAGCGTTCTGTGGGCTTAGTGAGAGTTTTGTAACGTTCTCGATAGCGTAAAAGTTAAAACAAATTTGTATGGAATTGGAACGTTTGCCTACGTTTGCCGCTAGGGGCGCTGTTCCAACTGCATACAAATTTGAGTTAGCTTTTACGCTATCGAGAAGGTTAAAAAACTCACACTGTTATGGGATGTTTTCTCTCTTAGTATCATCAAAAGACGAGAGTTGGTGAGTGAAATGTGAACAAATTTGTGTGTTTTATACAGCATACCGTCATAACAATAGGGACTTGTCAAAGATGCAATAATTTTTAAATAATAAAAAAAATACCTATATTTGAGTATTTTTTTTTGATAAAGAATAGCGCTGAACAATTTCGATTGGGAGACCCGTTTCCTTACTATGTACTCTAACTTTGCAGGCTGTAAACACTCATTCATAATACATCTGCGACGTCTCGATGGTCTTACCTCTTCAATCCTGGTACTCCCACAAGTCACTACTAGCTCCATTGCGTGCTCCAAGCCGGCGACCAGATCCTTCTTAGGTTCGACTTTGTTTAAATAAACGTTGACCCCCTGAGTTACCACTTCGAATCCGACTTTACCGCCAATCAAAGCGTTCGATAAAAACTCCAATTTTCCCTCCACCGTTATCGATATTTGACCTAATTTAAACGCGCCCTTTTCTGTCGCTGTAAAATCCAGTATCAGGTCGTTGGAGCCAGGTTTCAGTGGTATATCCTCGCTGGAAAAGCATTTCTGGTAGTTGTTTCTGATCGTCGCCGACGGCTTCCGATATTTGCTACTGTCAGAACGACGCAGCGGCATTTTAGGGTTGTGACATTCCACGGTCGCCTTTTGTAAAGACTTGTCCTCTTTGTAGTGCAATTGCGAAGTTATATGTAACGGGTTTAGTAAAGGATTGTTGGGTTTTAAATCATCGAGCCTTAAGCTGAAATCGAATAACAAAAATTATCGATATATTATTTTACAGACGTAAAGTGCAACTCTATGGTTCATAATAAAATTTGTTTAGCTACAAAATGAATTTTAAGAACACTGACTTTTTGGCGGGAATGCGAGGAGTGAAGTTGTGTAATTTGTTTTATTTTGTCTATTTAGTGTTTCTTCAGGTTTAAATGTGTTATAACGGTGGTTTATTAACTGTTTAATATCTGTGAAAGTGCACAAATGTGGGAAAATGAAAGAAAGCCGCTGGACGTAACTTCTCGGGATCCTCCAAAAAATCCACTGAAAAAATCTCAGTAAATGAACACTCATTCATTGATTTTACTGAGATTATAGTTCATCCCATATCATCTCATCTCATTTCATTTCATCCCAGTTGATTAATGTCTCAAATTAATCATCTTCATTTCATTTCAATCCATATTATCATTTTTCATAAAATTATGAATATAAGTTAAGATAAGACATGACCTTAAAGGTCTTAGTTACCAGATCATAAAATCCGTTAAAAAACACAATGCGACGTCGCACAACGCAGAACTTTGTAGGGACGTATCTACCGTGTCATATAAGGGTTACCTATCTTAGTATATATAAATCACGTGTCACGTTGTTTGTCCGCGATGGACTCCTAAACTCTTAACCGATTTTAAATTAAATTTGCACACCGTGTGCAGTTTGATTCAACTTGAAAGATAGGATAGCTTACATCTTAATTTATAGCTGCAATATTATTTTATTGCAAATTATTTGTCTATTATATGACATTCACAATTCTCTGTTAACACCAAACGATTTTAACAGATGGCGATATCTGTTGACTGGATTGAGTAAGTAATCAATAGATGGCGCTGCTATGTTAAACCTCCAAATGTGTCATATAAGCTACAATTTAATGTCATAAAGACCACGTGTTGCTGAGGCTAAAGTATAAGTGAAATTTATTTCGTAGTAAACGCAATACAGTGTAATCCAATTGTTCTTAATTTGTTAATTTTTGGTATTCGCATAGCTGGCCACGTGTTATTTAGAAACAAACACCTTAGCAACGTGTGGCCGAGTCTGCTAGTATTATATGGACCGTTTATTTTGAAAGTGGTGTAAGTGCATTTTCTTTTGTTTCGAGAAAATTAAAAGTTATTATATTTGTTGATTTAAAAATACGGGCAAATCATATGAGGTCTGGCTATGCCACCTACCACTGTCAATTGGACTTACACCACTTTCATAATCGATGATTATGCAATTTCATTTACCGACCGATTTTAAGTTGTACAAAACATGGGATTTTTTTGAGAAATTAAACACGGACTAGTTATATATAAAAAAATTTACATTAAATTAAGCATGAATTACGTGATAGCTCATTTTTCTCAAAAATTTACTTACACCACTTTCAAAATAAACAGTCCATTTATTTCGACTGTGACTTGAATAATGTACTCACCTACAAACTAAACTATTTATTGCATCTTCAATTTTATCGACGTTCCTCTTCGGCGAGCCGGTCTGTATTCCTACACTACAGTTAACGCTTAAATCAGTCTTGTGTTTGACGGGAGGCTTCTTCTCCGCTACCTTGTCGTCTTTAAATAACTCTATGCTTATTGCTGCCTTCGTACATTTTATATCTTTAGGTAGAAAACTTTCTATGACTACACGACATTGAACCTTATTCTCGGTGATGTAAAGACCCCTTTCGGGTGGCAGTAACGTGACAGACTTGACCTTGAAGCACTCGTTCAATTCGGCCAGCACCGTGTCGGTTTTGTTCGCCAGATCCTCACGTATGGTCCTCATCATTTCCTCGAAGTAAAAATTCCTGACTAGTATTTCTAATTCCTGTGTGCATGCTATTGTTGCAGAGAGCTTCGCGTATCTGTACATTGAACAGAAAAAAAACTTTAAGCTTAATAAAAACAGCATATGAATGTATAGGAAGCTCAGAATGGTTGTCTTCACTAAGAACACTATACTTCAATATGGTATAGAAAACAATTAAGACTTCAAATGTGTTCCATTAATCGGTTTTATACCATAGTTCTTTTTACTTTTGCTACAAAGCAAGCGTTGGACTAAATAAAGAACGAACATATTATTATAATATTCTCATGAAAAAGAGCCTTTGTCTTCGCTAAAACAAATAACAAAAATATTTGCTTACACCAAAAGACTGTGTCCCATAAAGATTTTTTAAATTGATAAGTTGAGCTGGCAAGGATACGGATTACCTGGTGTTAACTGGTTATTGAAACCCATAGATATCTATAACGTAGATGCCGCTATTCACCTTCTGGTGGACTGGTGGTAGGACCCCTTAAGAGTCCGCGCGGGTAGGCACCACCAGCCCGCCTATTTCTGCCGTGAAGCAGTAATGCGTTTCGGTTTGAAGGGCGGGGCAGTCGTTGTAACTATACTGAGACCTTAGAACTTATATCTCAAGGTGGGTGGCGAATTTACGTTGTGGATGTCTATGGTCTCCAGAAATTACTTAACACCAGGTGGGTTGTGAGCTCGTCCAACCATCTAAGCAATAAAAAAAAAAAAACCCTTCCGTGCGGACTGACCACACGCTCGACTAGTAAGTCCTTATTACCTATCCATGTCCTTCATTTTCTTCGCCGCCGAAACCAATTCTAATCTCGTTTGTGCCGCCAGCTCCTTCCAGCCTTGTTCCTCGTACGACCTCAACGCGTCCATCAGGAACACCACCGCCTTGCTGGTCTCGCCCAACTCGGAGTAGAACGATGCCAGCTCCCTACCGATAAGCCGAGCGAATCTGAGGATACAAAGCGAACTTTGTTTGAAATATGAAAATCTTGTCAACGTTACCTGGTGGTAATGCATGAGGTGATACGTCATAATTAATTTTAATTTTCCTGTGGACGGAATGGTAAACAGTCGACGTTGCTCTAAGCACGTCACTACGGATTTATTTTCGCATGGCTAAACAGGCGAAATATATGAAACTATGTCCTATATCCATAATATCTTGTAAACTATATTTCTGGCGAATAAAGATTTTCTTTCTTTCTTTCTTTCTTTCGATCCTCCCGATCCATTAACGGTGCTTTTAGGTACCTCAAGCACAGGTCACCGTCCTCGAAGACCCCATCGCTTGCAACGAAGGCCTCGAGGAGTAAATTAACCCACGGACACAGTCCACTGAGTTTCTCGCCGAATCTTCTCAGTGGGTCGCATTTCCGATCCGGCGGTAGATTCTGCGAAGCACTGCTCTTGCTAGGGTCAGTGTTAGCAATACTTCCGGTTTGAGCCCCGAGAGCTCACCTACCCGCTAGGGTGAAGCTGAAATAGCCTCTAAAGGCTATTAGCATAGGTAGGAAAAAAACGTTTGAATTTGAAAAATATCATGATAAAAAATTTCTATTAATGTTCAATTAAAAACATCTAACTGTTGATGGTAATACCAAATAAGACGCACTTTTAATTACAAAGCTAAATGTCGCGTATTAAGCGAAATGACGCTTAAAACAAATACCCATTTAAATCAAATCAAATAAAAATAAAAATTCAACACTAGGTGACCTGACAGACTTCGTAGTGCCTCAATCGATTAATAAAAGACCTAAACTTTTGTATAATATAAAAACAACTTAAAACAAACAAAAAATCTGTCCGACGTGGGACACATCAAAGGAAAAACCAAAATTGTTATTTTTATTTGATTCCGAGTATTTTCATGTTTAACTGCCTTTTAAACCTTCCCTGGACTTTCACAAATAATTCAAGATTAAAATTAGCCAAATTGGTCCAGCCGTTCTCGAGTTTTAGCGAGACTAACGATTTATATATATATGTATAAGTATAGATAAATGAAAGTACATACTTGTTGAACGTTAAAAAGAACTAGGTACCGCCAATTCACAAAAACTAGCCTCCGTCCTGAGAAGAACTGGCAAGAAACTCAGCGGGGATGTCTTTTTTTTTTAAGTATTAAATAAAAAAAAATTAATATTCATTTTCATTCAATTTTTATTCAATTCACTGCTCGATATATATTTACCTTAACCTCCCTATGTGCTTGTAAGTTCCCATCGCCAGCTCGGCCAGCTCCAGATAGTACTGCTGGAACGAGAGAGCGCTGCACAGGGCCTCCTTGAGCCTGTCCGTCGGCGTGGGCGGCTGCGAGTTGGGTTCGCTGTCCCCCATGCCCGCGGACAGCATCACTACTAGATGGAGTTGCTCTGACGTAGGTTCCGGCGAACCGGGGAGTAGACCACAGAGCTTACCCAATTCGTGCAACTGCAATTATAAAGCTTTTATGTGTCATAGGTTTTTTAATTTTTTTTTATTGCTTAGGTGGGTGGTCGAGTTCACAGCCCACCTGGTGCTAAGTGGTTACTGGAGCCCATAGACATCTACGATATAAATGCGCCACCCACCTTGAGATATCAGTTCTAAAGTCTCAAGTATAGTTACAGCGGCTGCCCCACCCTTCAAACCGAAACGCATTACTGCTTCACTGCAGAAATAGGCAGGGTAGTGGTACCTACCCGCGCGGACTCACAAGAAGGGTTCTACCACCAGTAATTACGCTAATTATAATTTTGCGGGTTTGATTTTTATTACACGATGTTCATTCCTTCACCGTGGATGTCAGTCGTGAACATCCGACTTTATGCTTCTCTCGAGTTTTATTACGATATAAATATTTACCGATAATCACGCCACGTTTACTTGTCCCGTGCTAAGTTCGTAAAGACCTTGTGTTACATGTACCAGATAACGGAAATAAATGTAAGATTTTTAATATACACATACATATATTTAATATACATCCATAACTCTAGAAAAGACATTTTATATTTATCATACAAATATCTTCCCTTGGCGGGATTCGAGCCCACGACTCCCTTGTGTAGTGACCATGTCACTTACCACTACACCAGACGGCCGTTAACCAGACGATAAATACCTTATCTTTGGCATGATGTAGGAGGGGTGCTTGCGCTGCCGTGCACATTTCCAGTGCGTTATTAGTGGCCGCCAAGCGTTCGCAGGCCCTCAACGTCTCCGCGCACGCCAAGTGCGCCCAGCACGCGCTCGCACCATCCACAGCGGGCGCGCCCAACAAACTTAACTCGACTATCGAATTATGCACGGTGGCTAGACAACGGGACGCTATCTGCAATAAACATTTTAGCTAATTACATTGTAGGTATAAGACAAAGGCAGTGCCGGATTTACCCTAAGGCCCGGTAGGCCCCGGCCAGATTTAGAGGCGGCCCCAATCGCGTCCCTGCACTGCATGGTGCAATCTATACCGCATAAACCTAATTTTGTTCCTAAATTTCTAAGTTTATTTAGATAAAAATTGGCAATAAAGTAATTTCATAATGTAGTCTATATGGAGGGAAAGGGGCGGCTGATGGCTTGGAGCCTAGGGCGGCCGAGACTGCAAATCCGCCACTGGACAAAGGGAAGATCTTCCTTGAGCGGGTGATGTTGCTCGGTAGACCGACAGTCCGAATGTTGTTGTTCGGAACTTGTATATATGCGAGTTTATCTTGAAAATGTCGTAAGCGAGACTTAGGCATCTGTCAAATATCTTGTGTTCTGTGATGGCTACCGCCACAATATAAGGTTGAGGCCGGTGACCGTGCGTAATTTTTTCCCAGTTATTATTATCATGTTTTTTTTATTGCCCTTTTAGGTGTTTTTTTCCTATCTAAGCTGATGGTTTAGAAAGACCATATCATCGTCCCTGGGCGAGTAGATGAGCTCACGGGGCTCGAACCTGACGACGTTGCTAACACGAACCCTAGCAAGATCAGTGCTTCGTAGAATCTACCACCGGATCGGAAACGCGACCCACTGAGAAGATCCGGCGAGAAACTTAGTGGGCTCTTTTAGGTAAATGAGCATACGGCCCACCTGATCGTGACTGGCTACCGTCGCCCATGGACTTTAGCAATGCCAGGGGCAGAGCCAAGCCGCTGCCTACCGTTAAGTACTCTCCACAATCCTCGTTTGAATAAGGACATATCATAGCGCTCGGGAAACACTTAAAAAGTGACGTTTGGATCAGCGGGTCACGTCTACTACAGGTCCTACACCTTTCAAACTAAAAAGCCGCATTAATGTAACTAATAACGCCACGAAAACAATACAGTGTGTGCTGGTACTGGTCTAAGTCGATCGTGTATTTAACAGTCCATTACCAATGACAGGTAATTCGCTTCACACATGGTCGATCATGAAGAAAATATTCTATTACTGTACGTTCCTCTATGCGCTCGTTGGAACTGTACAAACTTAATGAACAATTTCAAAGTTGAGATTAAATGTTTGAGGCGGTCCGTATTTTAAGTTCCCACGGGTCAGTCCGCCGGTCATCGTTCTCGTCGAACCCGTCGCTTGCGACGAAGGGCTCGACGAGTAACTTAACCCACAGACACAGCCCACTGAGTTTCTCGCCGGATATTCTCAATGGGTCGCGTTTCCAATCCGGTGGTAGATTCTGCGAAGCACGGCTCTTGCTAGGGTTCGTTTTAGCAACGTCGTCAGGTTTGAGCCCCGTGAGCTCACCTACTAGTTTAGGTTATGCTGAAATAGCCTCTCAAGGCTATCAGCTTAGGTAGAAAAAAAAAGTCAGTCCGAAATTTGCTAGTATCTTCCCTAGCGAGAGCAGTGCTTCGCTGAATCTACCACTGTATCCGACTCGGAACTTGCTGAGAAAACTCGACGCGAAATTCAGTGAGTTGTGTCTATAGGTTATATTAGACGTCGAATTCTTCGCATATGACGAGAACGGTGACCGGCGCTTGGAATGTCTAAAAGAATCGAGACTGGATCAAGAGGATCCGGAGGGATGTGTCTAAGGCGATTGTCATTTCTCCATCGTCTGGTCCGTAGACATAATTTACGGCGGCTACGATATTAGATGTGAAAAACAGCATTTAAACTATATTTTGCTGGTGGTAGGACCTCTTGAAAGTCCGCTCGGGTAGGTACCACCACCCTGCCTATTTCTGCCATGAAGCAGTAATGCGTTTCGGTTTGAAGGGTGGGGCAGTCGTTGTAGCTATACTTCAGACTATGGACTCCAGTAACCACTTAACACCAGGTGAGCTGTGAGTTCGTCCACTCATCTTAGCAATAAAAAAAATACATTTTTTTCTACTATATCGTTCCCTCACTACTGAGGAACGCGACCACATGTGACGTTCTTCCACTGTGTTCGATCATGGGTGGCACGGACCGCATGGTACAGACTACCACCAAGTGCTTCTCTTACTAGATCTGACCATCTGGCTGGTGTTCTGCCCACGGCGCGCTTGCCCTCTATTGCGACCCGCAATTATGAGCTTCCCTAATTTATGTCTGGGAGACCGCATGATGTCCGAAGAAGCTCATAGCACGTTTCCGGCAGATGGAAGAGAGCTTTTTCGGATATTTAGCTCCCTCAGAATAGACTCGGTAGTTCTCATGGCAGTCCACGGTATTCGTAGCATCCTCCGCCACACACACACATTTCAAAGGCATCGGATCTTTTTGATATCGCGGCTATTCATGCACCATATACATTTTACACGGACTACTAAAAATATGGTCCCTTATTATTTAATTAGTGTGTTGTATTTTATTTCTATTATTACTTTTTTCAGTACGTTTGAGGAATTTCTAATTGGACATAAATATTAGGCGTACGTGTTTCGCTTAATGAATTATTAATTTGGTTTAATTTCGAGAATTGCGCGTTCGCCATTAATTGGTTTTAATCGAGGCGAGGTACGTACATAGATTACGTTGCCTCGTATATTTAAAACATAGCTCTTTGTAATTTTACAATCTTTTCACGGTCTTTACTTGAAATCCTTAAAGTTTTTTTTTAAGGCCTTATCTTCGTAATTTGAAAAGTATTTTCTGTGTCGGACTGAAATTCCTGATCGATTCTAAGCACAAATAGACCAAGAGGGCCAAAGCAGGGAGACTAAACCCTCCATGTTATTAGTGTAGTTCAACAATATCGAGTGAATGTGAATGAGTTCAATTGGGTGAAACATTTAAGGATGGTTTAAGCTCAGATCTTAATTAATCAGATTAGCCTTCCCGACTAACGTGTCGATATTGAAGCAACTGGGCATCAAAATCAGACTGTCTACTGTATGTCTGAAGCGGATCCTCGAATATTTTGGTCACATTGCGAGGAAAGACGGCGATAACCTGGAAAAACTTATGATCACAGGGAAAGTTGAAGGCAACAGACCTAGAGGCCGCAGCCAGGCTCGTTGGTCCGATCAGATCCGCACCGCTTTGGACAGTACAGTGTACAGCGCGCTGCATGACGCCGTGGACAGGGGAAAGTGGAAAAAGATCTTAAGATTGAAGCTCATGGGTGATGGTGGTCACGACCCTCAGACATAAGGAACACGACTCGAGGAGGAGGAAGCTCAGATCACTGATAAATAGAAATAGATAGTAAAGTGCTGCAACCATGTTTTTTTTTTTTTTTTTTATTGCCCTTATAGACAGACGGCCTACCATACATACGGCCTACCTGATGGTGACTGTTTATCGTCGCCCATGGACTTCAGCAATGCCAGGGGCAGAGACAAGCCACTGCCTACCGAAGTGTGTATAAGAAAAAGTCATATAAAACTAATTTCACATTATCACATCACAATTTCACAAAATTTTATATTAATGAATAAAAATACCCCTTACGTCATATTTTGTTACATTTTATTTATAATTTGACGCTTGTAAGAACAATGCATCAAGATATAATTAATGTTATATGTAATTTTTATATTGTGCTTTAAAAATTTTGTAAAGTTCATAGAAAGTCCAGTAATGTGATGACAGAGAATATTTTTTTAAATTTAATACCTTATGCCAAATTAATACATGTAGATACTTAATTAGGAAAAGATAATTTCAAAACATGATATGAATACTGTAACTGTTATATAAAAAAATACTGTCATGCAAACAATCAAGATACAGCACATACATTGACTCCAACTGTGAGTAGATACTTTCATATTGTGATTGCGTCACATGCTTTTAGAAAATTGACAACATACTGGTGTGTGCCAGATTCTGAATCACTGATTAAAAAGCAGACAATTTTATTTCACTATGCAGTCTGTTTATGATTAGATAAATAGATTTTTTTATTATATTATTTATTTAACATTATTATTATTCAAATTTTCTTACCTCCCAAGGTTTAAACGTTAGTAATAACATGGCACTTTGTCTTTGAAACAGATAACTTCTAAAATCCAATAAAGAAGCTCTCTTCTTAATTATCAGTTCTCTCAAGTGCTGAGGAACGAGAGTGGTCAGTCTCACAGCTTGCCACGAACTTACTGGCTGTCTAAATGTGTCGAGCCATTTCGGACTCTCTGCTATATTTGAGTTGAGTACAAATTGCGAAAACAGAGCATCTAATTCATCATACTGAACCAGTGCTTCATCATATAATCCTAACATTTCTAGCACGAATGCTAGTTGTTCCTGAAAAGAGGATTGAACCTTAATTAAAAAAAACTTTAAGATATTTAATTTTAAGATATTATAAACTTTAAGATTATATCTATAAACCTAGACCAGGTCACTGATGATGAAGTAACTAATATATCACAATAGCAAATAATTTTTACTCATCATCAATGCTACAGTTAAAAACATATTTTAGACACTAGAAACACACTTCATTATATATTATTCATTCTATTGACTCTTATGAAAATTTAACATAATAATGATGAAGAATTACATATATATGCCCTGACAAGTTGGCAAATTGTACTGACCTGTAAAATGAAATATTTACAAAAATCCCAATCTGAATCATTCCGTTTTTCTCTCTGCTCTCTCATATACTCTTCAAATTTAATCAATGCCTTATTATAAGCAACAAGAATAAAGTGTCTCATCTTTGCCACCAAAGCTCTCCATGATTCAGCACTTCTAGCCTCTGATTTTATAGGATTTATTACTGATATAAATCTATCTTCATTCTGCTTTACCGCAAAATCTCCTTTTATTTTATCCAAAACTGTTGTTCTCGGTAAAAGTTTGTTTGCTTTCCTTATATCATAAGTTTCTACTTGGACAATCATCCAATCTGTTACATTTGCTTTTTCTAATTGTTTCAACCATGTTTCTATTTCTTCCCGCAGTGTTGTCTTATAATACTCAATGTCCTACAAAAGTTGTAATGTAAATTTTTTATGTATTGGTTGATAATATGATTATTGAATTACCTATTGATCTTAATTTCCTTTTTTTTTTTAAGTTATACACATCCAATTTACTTTTACTCTAATCAGTTCTCATACATTTAGATATTGAATAATAAAAAATATTGCATGTCAACTATGTTAATTGTCTCTGTTAGCAAAATTATTATGTAATTATTATATAGCATGATTTTATTATCATGAAAATGAATTTTCATATAAATGTATAAAATTATATACTAACCACACAATCAGTCCAATAAACTTGAAGTATTGGGCGTTTTAACAAATTCAATTCTGATTGAAGTTTTTCTTTATTGTATTTTATGAATGAAGCTTCCAAGTAAACAGACTTTGTTGCACGACCGTATGATCTTCTCCACTCACAAGAGTCCTGAGGGATAGCAGCAACGAGCGGCGCTTCTAACGTACAGAACAAATTCCAATCTCCCGCGCCTAATATTCAAAACATTAATTTAATTTTTATTTTAAATTTTTTACTGTCTAGTACGTATGCCATACGGTACTTACATGTAACGATAGGTTTATTGATCATTCCCTCCCTATCAGCTGGTAAACTACCAACACCCTTCATTTTTCATCCAGTTAATATCATCTGCGAAACTTGTCGATTTTGCGGGCATGACACAAATAACATTCCAATAATTACGAACGGAAACCACCCACTTTACTGACACACACTAAATTGACGAATTTGGTTTTTGTTATTTATAAAGTACGCAATGTATGTATGGTTTTAAACTAAATTTTACGTAAATGAAGGTATTTTTATAAGTTTTTGTTAGATTCGTTGAAACTAAAATTGAGAATTTGACAAAAACTGCTGTCATCGCCCAACTCGACAGATGTGTGACGTTTCGTTCTCATTAAGTTGGAACCACTGTTGGAACTTTCATAAATTAAAATGAAGCAACTTAATCAAAGTCATTAGAATTTAAATTCTGCAAACGCACATAAAAGTTTAAGCTTTGTTAACATTATTATACGTGAACTTTAAAAACTAATTAATCACTAGATTATCAAAGCTGAAGCTACATATTTTACGTGTCTAATTAGAAAGAAAAAGTGAACATTATGATCCTAGAAATGAAAATGGAGCCTACGCTCCATGTTCGCGAGAAACTTCTTATTACTATTTAAGTTGCAGTAGAGTAGACTGACAAGGACTGCTTTTAAATTTCGTTCAAAGAAACTTTTAGAGTCAGATTAAATCCTAAGTGTGCTTTTTATGACCCACCTAACGAAATTGTTGACAAAGATGAGATCCCATGGCAAACTTTGCATAGATCTGCGCTAAAAAGATATAACAGATTGGAAATCAAGAAGATTTAAGGAAAAAACTTAAGAAAAATTGTGAATAATATGAAAATAAATTCCATAAATTGAGCCATATGATATGTAATCTGTTACTCTGTTACGTGAATTTGACGTGGAAGATGAGATCCCATGGCAAACTTTGCATAGATCTGCGCTAAAAAGATATAACAGATTGGAAATCATGAAGATTTAAGGAAAAAAAACAAAATGTGTGCAATTCACACGTGGTAGAAGTGAAATCTTCCAAAATTAAAATACAATTATCCTAAACGTCTTAAGTATATGTAAAATTTTGTCATTAGTAAATAATTGTAAGGCGCCCTCTGTGAATTGATATTTTAATTTCACGTATAATCCTAAATTAAAATTCACTACAAGAGCTTTCATACACACGTTAGTATTAAAAAATCTCACAGATGGCGCTGTATTAAATAGTATGTATATTTCTGTCTCATTCTTTGCTGGCTTCATCCTACACATTTTTGTATTTGTGTCTCTTACCTGTCGTTTTTTCCGTTGCATCCGGTTTGAAATCACAACGATTCTAAAGAAGTTTTCACTTCAAAAACTTAAGGAAAATTGTGAATGATATGATAATAAATTCCATAAATGAGCCATATGATATGTAATCTGTTACTCTGTTCTTCTGTGGCTTCTGTTAATTTAATGTGAAAGGCTGTAGTGCGATTAGTGAGAATGATTTATTTCTCATTAAAGTATTGTATCGGGAGCTATGTATCGGACGCTAGGAATATTTTTCAGATTAGTTCGCAGATACAAATTCCGAACAAAAACATTCGGACCGCCTGTTTACCCAGCAATTTTACCCACTCGGTGCAATGTAATACCTCCAAAGTATTGATATGATTTAAAGTTCTTGGTAGCAGAGTGTAGGCAGTTACGAAATAATATACCTACTAACACACTTTTATATATTAGTATTAGTTACGTCGATGTTTTAGAATTTATTATCGAAATCACAGTTTTCTTATTTTATTATACTTCACGAAGTAACAGACATTTCTTCACTTCTTCTTATGACAACTCTTGTCACTTCTTTCTATGTATATGTTTTTGATAAGGAGTTTCTATATCCATTAACTCCAACAAGTATCATACGCTGTTGAAATTTATCTGTTACGATTTCCGGTGCTTTGCATGCGACAACTCTAAATGAGTGCCAAGCTTATATTTAATGATTGAATGCTTATGAGAGTCGATCCCCAATATTATTTTTTTATTTAGTCTATGAGTTTTGGTTGTTTTAGTTATTTGCCTTTGCCTATCTAGGTGAATGAAAAATATCCAAAAGTTTATGATTATTCAAAATGTCGCTTTCTGTTTTGGTATCATGTCGCATTATAAAAAATTAGAAAAATTATTCAGCAATCAATGAATTACGACTTATTAATAGTCTGCTTTTGAAAATTTAAAACGAAGGATATACCATAAGAAGTTTCAGGTAATCTTAAATTTATAATATTTCAAGTTCATGATCACGGTGCGAGTTAAACAGCTAATAATTCGATTTTGGAACTGTATTTTGAGTTAATCTTATTTTAATTGATGCATAAAATTATTACGCCATATATGTATACCTTAGGTAATTTAGTTAAGTATCTAAACAGTTAAAGTTAAAAGTAGTTTCATAAATGAAGTAAAAAAAAGCTCAAGTTCTTAGAATTCCTTTGATATTGGATGCCTCATTATAGTGTAATTACTTTAAAGTTATCACTAACGTGTATTGATTTAATACTTATGTGAAAATTCGTGAACTACTTTGGTGTGAAACTAAACCATTCCATTACACTTGAGTAAATAGCAGTTTTTTAAAAATGTTATTGTGAACTTAATTTGTGTGTATTAATGTAGCAAATTCTACTAAATTAAAATAACCTAAACATATTATTTATTATGTTAAATTATTTACATTATACTCTTTTATAAATATTTCTTTTATAAAGATAGTTGCATTGTACAATAAATAAACCAACAATTTAATGCATACATAATGTATACATACATATATCCATAAATAATGTATAAGGTATATAACAAATAAAACCATGTTAGGAAACAGATTAACATGGTTTTATGTCTATTGTCTTCATTGTAGCCATGAATACGACAGCACCAACATCGGCAGATGCATGCCTCAGCATTGTGCATTCACTGATGTGCCACCGTCAAGGTGGTGAGAGCGAAGGATTTTCTAAACGAGCCATTGAATCTCTGGTCAAGAAGTTGAAAGAAAAACGAGATGAGCTTGACTCTTTGATCACAGCTATAACTACAAATGGTGCACATCCTAGTAAATGTGTTACTATACAGAGGACTTTAGATGGGAGATTACAGGTAGTTAAAAAAATTATAAGTCCTCATATTAAATCAAATTTACAGTTTTCATGGTCACTAGCATTCAATTATTATAATCCAATAATTAATTACATTTATATTGATGTTAAATGTTCTATTTGCCAGCAGAATTTGTGAAAATACAAGGGAATAGTATTATAAATCCGGTAAAACTGAAAGTCTAGAATAATATTAATCACTAAAGTCTAAACATAATGAAACTCATTAAAGTGTCTAATAGATGCAATGACTGCATCATAAAAAACACAAAAATAGGCAGATTTATTAAATTATGAAATTATCTATGCTTAGTACTTTAAACAAATAAAAAAAAATAGCATCAAATTTATGTTACAAAAAAATCTCCTTTTAATTAACTAGTCATATTTAGGTTGCAAAAGGCTCATAAAACTTTTTCTACATAGGTTGCTGGTCGGAAAGGATTTCCTCATGTAATTTATGCTCGAATATGGAGGTGGCCAGATTTACATAAAAATGAACTGAAACATGTTAAATTTTGTCAATTTGCATTTGATTTAAAGTGTGACTCTGTGTGTGTTAATCCATACCACTATGAAAGAGTTGTTTCTCCTGGTATAGGTAAGTATACTATTACGTATTTTAATTACATTGTCATGATGTTCCTGCTGTGAGGGTCTATCTCAGTATGAGTATTGGTGCAGTCAACTCCGAAATAATTTGCATATAAGATATCAATTCAGTGTTATGTACAATAATAATGGGATTATAAGAAATTAAAATGTTATTATTAAAACTTATTTCCTGCAAGTACATTGGATAAATTTGAAGAGTTTCCAATGTAACCAGTCACTTCTCACTGGGGGTTTCATCCATTTTGTAACATAGTTACACTAACTTATGTACTTGCCACATTTTCATGAACAACCCAGATGAAAGAATAACATTTTGTACTAAAAATAAAACCTACAACTTACAAGTTTGTATTGTTTATTAAGGCAAAATGTGAGCCTGGAAAGGTAGTTGTTACCTATTTCTGCCATGAAGCAGTTTCTTTCACCTCATATCTCAGGGTGGGTGGTGGCATTCACATTGTGATGTATGGCTTTTGGTATCTACTTAACACAATGTGAGCAATTACCTTGTTCATCAATCAATGCAATAGATGTATAAATTAAATTTGAGTGGTAATGTAAAGTATGAGTTTCTCACCATCATTATCAACCTATAAACATCAACTGGGCATACGCCTGGCCAAGATGAAAGAGTGAATATAAAATTTATTTTTAACCAGGATGTTATTTGTAACAAGTTTATTATTCCTCTTTAAGAAATTATACTTGTATAGATCAGCCTTTATAGTAAGGAGTCCTTTAAAAAATGGGTATTTCCAGATTTATCCGGCTTGTCCCTTCAATCTGGACCCAGTAGATTAGTAAAGGACGAGTACACGGCTGGTCTAGGTGGTAACGGTATGGACATGGATACTGGTGAGATGGTTACCATACAGCATCATGCGACAAGTCCTAGACACCACCATTCGACAATACAACATCACCATCAACAGTTTCAAACAACTAATATTATTATGAATCAAGGACAGAGTGAGTTTAGTAAAATTTGTGTTGTTTTAATAATAAAAATGGAAAACTTTAATTTTTGATTCATATTCGAAGGCAATTCATTTTATAATTATGAACTTTAAAGAAAAAAAATTTTTTGAATGTGTTATATTTTAAGTCATATTGCATGGAGTTTTGTAATGAATAAATTTTAAAAATGTCATATTGATAAATGTATCTATATAGTTCTGTATATTGTGCCATAATACTGTGTAATGTGTATGTGAAAATGGATTGTTTTTATTTTGCGTTTTACATTTTATTTTGCTTTTCGCTTTACTAGCGCCCGATGGCGTTCCGAGCATGTTTTCACCGACCCACGGGCCTCGGACGCCGATCCGGCCTTCGGGTGGTCCACCCCAGTTACCACCGCCGCCTTCCATGGGACACTCGCCGAGCGCACAAATGATGCAAAATCACACGGGACAAATGCCCACACCGCAGATGGTACCGGGGGCCTCACAACTACGATCAGGAACGCCCCAAATGGGACCCGCTACGCCACAAATGGTCCCCGGAACACCACAGATGGTGCCTGGTAATCCGCAAATGGTACCGAACACCCCGCAAATGGGGCCGGGCACACCGCAGATGGGTCCCAGTACTCCGCAAATGGGTCCGGGCACGCCACAGATGGGACCCGGTACACCTCAGATGGGTCCGGGTACACCTCAGATGGGATCAAATGTACCTCAAATGGCTTCGCCGAGAATCGCTTCGGCCCCCACGCAGATGTCTCCGGGGACCCCCCAGATGCCTTCGATTAGTCAGGGAATGTCCATACCGAGCCCGCAACAAATGGTGATGCAGCAAAGAGCCATAGCCCCTAAGCTGGAGCCACCCGACACCATGGACGCCCGAGCTATGTGGCTGCCAAAAAGAATGAATCATTGTAAGCTTTTCTTTATTATTTTGCACCCGTTTTTACCGTCACCGTTTTTTCTTTAGCTTGTGTCGTTGTTGCGCGCTGAATCTAATGCAGGTGTCACCAGCCCTGTACTGTTTTCCAGCGGCGATACCAGTAAGTATGTCGCCAGGCGCGACGACGCCTCTTATCGATGGTGCGAACACGACGTTCTTCGGCACAGAACAAACCACTACCGACACACAAATCACACAGACTCTCCCTAGTAAGTCCTTGCACTAACATTAGAATTAGAAGGCTTATTTATGGGAGGAGAATTTTTTTTGTTCTTTTTTTGTTAGTTTACGAAGGTTGTTTTTTTTTTGCTGTGGTTTGATTTGCCATGTCGAAATGAGAAAGGTAATGGTTCCGTAATTGGTTCCAGAACGCTCTGTTGTATTCATCGTCTATATTATCATTGGAAATCTTTAATGCAAAATGTTTAACTTTCACTAAACTTTGTTGCAAAAAAAGGTTATTTTTCCTCTCCCGTCTTCAACACAACACTAAATGTATCGATAAGTTTTTAAACATGAAAAGTTTTATCAAATCCGTGACGTATTCATTCAGTCATAAAGTCTACTTTAATGGATGTTTTAGAGTCACAGATGCATATACTTGAATCATTTTTATTTGTGTTGCTAAATTTATTATTTCTTAATATATATAAATTACGTGTCAGTTTGTTTGTCCGCGATGGACACCTAAACTACTGAACCGATTTTAACTTTATTTATTTAAAAAAATGTGTTTTGTTCCAACTTACGTCATAGAATGGTTTTTATTTGGATTAATGGTCGTAATATTTATTAATTAACAATAAAATTATTTTTTATGTTGATTATTGTTATTAATTGTAAGTTTCATAAGTCTAAAACAGATGGCGCCTTACATCAATTTTTACAGACAATTGTAATACTGTCTGATATTAATATCTCATAGATGGCGTTCTGTTAAAAATACCAACGTTTCACATAAGCTACAATTTAATGAAATAAAGACCACGTGTTGCTGAGGCTAAAGTATAAGTGAAAATTATTTCGTAGTAAACGCAATACAGTGAAATCCAATTGTTCTTACTTTGTTAATTTTTGGTATTCGCATAGCCGGTCACGTGTTATTTAGAAACAAAAACCTTAACCACAGCAACGCGTGGCCGGGTCTGCTAGTATATTATATATCATGTAAATGTTTTTGTATACAAACACGCTTATGAAGTTTTAAATCAGTATTTATCTTTTGTTCAGCTGGCACAATTTCACCGATAACCGGTGAGGGTACACAACAGAACGGGTTTGCTGCGACCAGTCCAGCACCGCAACCTAGTCCTCTTCAGCACCAGAGCCAACCACAGCCACCTCAGCAGCAACAACAACAACAGCAGCAGCAGGGTAACAAGTCATTTTCTTTTTGAAAGAATTCAAAACTGCAACTTCACTCACACGGCTGATTTGCTAGACACCACGTGAATTAACATAGTGAATAAAGCAGTAAATTTCATGGAAATGCTGAAATATCTGACTCTTAAAAATCATCATACATTCCGTTGTAGATAATGAGAAATAGCTTATACATTCGCAATAGGTTAAAACATCTTTTAAAACTTAAACCTGGTATTTTTTGGTTCATTACTTTTTTTATTGCTTAGATTGGTGGACGAGCTCACAGACCACTTGGTGTTAAGTGGTTACTGGAGCCCATAGACATCTACGACGTAAATGCGCTACCCGCTATGAGATATAAGTTCTAAGGTCTCAGTATAGTTACAACAGCTGCCCCACCCTTCAAACCGAAACGCATTACTGCTTCACGGCAGAAATAGGCAGGGTGGTGGTAATCAAATCAAATCAACATATCTAATTTGACTGGTGGTAGGACCTCTTGTGAGTCCGCGCGGGTAGGTACCACCACCCCGCTTATTTCTGCCGTGAAGCAATAACGCGTTTCGGTTTGAAGGGTGGGGCGGCCGTTGTAACTATACTTGAGACTTTAGAACTTATATCTCAAGGTGGGTGGAGCATTTACGTCGTAGATTACTATGGGCTCCAGTAACCACTTAACACCAGGTGGGCTGTGAGTTCGTCTACCCATCTAAGCAATAAAAAAATAAATAAATATATATATATTTTAATTATAATTTGTATTGAGTAATTTTCCATAACCATGTGGTAGATGCTGTATATATATAACACGACGTTGCTGTAACAGGAACGTGGACGGGTAACAACACGCTGACGTACACGCAGAGCCTGGCCCCGCCCCCCGCCGCGCCGCCCTTGCCCCTCGACGCCCCCGCACATCACCACCACTACTGTAAGTGGCATTGACTGCTGAAACTGCAACACGAGTGGTAGAGGGTGTATTGTGAGCCTGCAACAGAAAGAAACATCATGATAATTTTTCCTTTGAAGCGGTCCTGCTTCCTGATTTGATGACCCGGACGCTGATATTAATACAAATGAGAACTGACCTTATGTCGTTAAGTAACTAGCTGCATAGAGTTTGAAATGTGTATGACTTCCAGTAAGATACTAAGACTCATTTGCAGCTAGATAATACAAGAAAAGACAGCAAATCCGTTTAAAAAACAATTGCAACAATATATAACAATATCACATTGAACAGTCAAAAATTTAAATTTTTTTTTCATTGTAACATGACACGGTTACGTGTGAAAGATAAAAAAATACTCCCAGAGCCCCAAACAAGAAAAAAAAACTCAGTCCAATTGGGAATTCATACTGAGTCCATTGTTTGTGCACTCGGATATACAAACTTCTTGACCAACAGTCTAGACAGTTTAATATACATGTCATTAGATACTCGAGTTTAAAAAAAATATTTTAATAAATAATTCAAAAAGGTATTACGTTTTGTAGTATTTTGCATAAAATATTTTTAAACGATGCTTATTTGATATATAAATTATTTAAATTACAAAATGTATATTTATAATGAACTGGAAAAGTATAAATTTTACTAATCTAACAGTGTTACCAATTTGTTGTATGATTTGTTTTTGCAGTCAATGGCAACCCCGGTGGCTTACTCTCAAGTCAACCAGCGCCCGAATACTGGTGCTCTGTTGCGTATTTTGAACTTGACACACAAGTAGGAGAAACATTCAAAGTACCTTCCAGTAGACCCAATGTTACTGTGAGTAGAAAATAATGTCTATTTATCATTGATATCAACAATATAGAAGGTGATTTATCGGGGTCATTGGCTATGGTCCAATTTTGATCATTGGGCAAACACTGGTACACATTAGATAAACTTTGTACATTGTATGCAGATGAAAACAGGGTATGTACATACACTCAAACGGCTTATGCCAAAAATTTTGGTCTCGAACTTGGATATCACAGAGCAGTACCCCTCAAACTGATGAATGTATAAAATTATCATAATAAAGAATATCATTAAAACTAACAGATTTGTGATTGCCTCTACAATGAGTTACAGCAAAGCCTATTGAGGTCCTTTGTCATCTAAATGCTATATTTAATATTCATTGACATTTTACCTAACCTACATGCCAATAAATTTTCAGCAATCGAAAGATATGCACAGATACAAATCTCAACAATTTTATGACATTTATGTTATATTACTAGACATTCACATTTTGGAGTTTAAGTTTGAATAATGTTTTTTTAATTTACAGGTGGACGGTTACGTTGATCCTTCAGGTGGGAACAGGTTCTGTTTAGGTGCTCTCAGTAATGTCCACAGAACGGAACAAAGTGAACGGGCAAGGTGATTTTCTTTTATATAGATAGACAAATGTGTAAATGCAATAGAACAATATATCCGATAAGTTATTAATATTCATTACAGCTTTCTATGTGTAGATTATTTAGTATTTTATTTATATTTGGGTATACTCTGTGGCTGAATGTTATTGTTTTATTACTAGAATCTCAGTAAATAAGTAACCACCATTTTACTGAGATTATATTCCATCCCATATCATTTCATTTACTTCATCCCAGTTGATTAATGTCTCAAATTAATCATCTTCGTTTCATTTAACTCCATATTATCATTTTTCATAAAAATAAGAATATGTATAACTTTAAATAAGACACGACCTAAAGGTCTTAGTTACCAGGACATAAAATTCCGTTTTTTTTTATACTACCCTTGATCGGCGGACAACGTAAACGCTGATTTTGTGTTTAGTGGTTATTGGAGCCCATAGACATTATACGTGAATTCCTTCACTCCCTTAAGGTATAGGTGGAAAGCTCAATTGTAGTGTATAAGAACTCCTCCGTCTTTCGAAGCGGAACTGACTATTGCCTTGCGATAGAAATAGGTTGGACGGCGACACCCATTCATGGACTCTCAATATAAGCTGTAGTCTGAATCTTTTGTCTTTTTGGATTCTATAGACTAGTTTCTGATTGACCTCTAGGCCCCTTAAAAAACAAAATTTAATTATTAAACTCTCACTTTCTTATTTCAGACTACACATAGGCAAGGGCGTTCAGTTAGATTTGCGCGGCGAGGGTGACGTATGGCTCCGATGTTTGTCGGATCATTCGGTCTTCGTACAATCATATTATTTGGATCGGGAGGCTGGCAGAGCGCCCGGGGATGCTGTTCACAAGATATACCCATCGGCATGTATAAAGGTAATTGGAAAATCTGGTTTTTGTAATGGCCTATTTGTACTGGAGTAAATATTGCCATGGTTAAGGTGGCTAAGGTAGGGTGACCATTTCTTAAAAAAAATAGACATTAAGTTAGGTGCCTAAAAGGGAACGAACTGTCAATAAAAAAGATGTGTGGTGTCGTGGGACACCGGATAGGAACGAATTTCCTTATTATAACAATATTAATTTTAAGTTCTATTCGAGGTATAAAGAAAACAATTATTAGGGTATACTTCTTTTATTATGATATTTTTATTGATAAAAAAAAAAATACTTTACAAAGTTATCAACTTTATTTTATTCACAATGATTTATAAAAAATATATAATATTAATGTACAGCGAAACAGCTATTTATATGAATAATAATAATAACCGTCATCACGTAGACTATTATCATGTATTAGATACTGTATAGCTATCATACTAAGACTATACATAAATAATAAAAATCTTACGTTACAGAGGCTTTTTCCCGGTTAGGGTAAGGAACTTCGTTCCAAAAAAATGAACTATTTTTGTGTGCACTACTGTTTTAACTTCGCCATTGTTGCTTTATTTTTAAAGTTAATTTTGTATGAAAATTTGCATAAAGATAATTTTGTAATCTTTGTATATGAGTAATACTAGATGTGACGCGTTTATTGTATAGTGTTTGTTACGTACAAACATTTCAGGTGTTCGACTTGAGGCAGTGCCACCGACAGATGCAGTCGCAGGCCGCCACCGCGCAGGCCGCCGCCGCCGCGCAGGCCGCCGCCGTCGCCGGACACATCCAGCCGCAACACCCCACCATGAATAAGTGTATGCAACGCCGCAATCATCATTAACTCGTGCTCCCTTCCGTGTTTACTGGTGGTAGGACCTCTTGAGAGTCCATGCGGGTAGTTACCACCACCCTGCCTATTTCTGCCGTGAAGCAGGAATGCGTTTCGGTTTGAAGGGTGGGGCAGCCGTTGTAACTATACTTGAGACTAGAACTTATATCTCAAGGTGAGTGGCGCATTTACGTTGTAGATGTCTATGGGCTCCAGTAACCATTTAACACCAGGTGGGCTGTGAGCTCCTCCACCCATCTAAGCAATAAAAAAAACCCTATACCTCGGAACATCAACTTCATGTTTCTGGAGTGATTTAAGGGCTCGAGTAACCGCTTAAGGCAAGGTAGACACTGACCTCATTTAGTCACCTGATAACAAAAAGTTACTTATTAAAAGAATATTAAATTACGCTAATTCTGGTGGAATTTACACTTAAGACTTAATGTCTTAAGCTGAGCGACATCACTCGCCGTGTGGTGCTTATTTTCTATCAGCCCACAGACGTCCACTGCTGGACATAGGCGTCCCCCAAGCCTCGCCACAAAAATCGGTGAACCTTGGAGAGCGTGTCGATGCGTATCGAAAGCACTATGTTGAAGCGCTTTTATGACAGCAATATCAGTGAACTGTAGATCTGCAAGTAGCATCCAGTCCAGCTTACCCAAGAAACCATATACATACTCCACAATGCGGAGTAGCTTGGACCAAGAACACTCGCTTGGCCAGCGTACAGAGAAAGGGTTAATTTTTCTAATTGTGCAATCACTTATGCTAATAACAACAAAAAATATACTGGCATTGTTCACTACATACCTAAATTTTGGCAAGGAAATAAAAAATCATCAATTTGAATTTGCTAATTATGGACATTATATATATTGATATCTTTTGACAGGTCTAACTGCGGCCGCCGGTATAGGAGTGGACGATTTGCGACGTCTGTGTATCGTGAGGCTCTCGTTTGTGAAGGGTTGGGGCCCTGATTACCCTCGAACCTCGATCAAGGAGACGCCTTGCTGGGTTGAAGTGCATTTACATAGGTAATTCTTAATAACGAACTATTCTCTTACTAATAATCCTTCAATCTGTTATATACAACCCAGTGACATTTTATTGAACCGTACATGTACGCGTTGATTCAATATGTCGAATTAAAAATCTAAAATAAAATCTAATCTTAAAGTTAAAGTCTACTCAAAAATGTATATTAAAGGGTTTAAACTTCATGTTAGACAGAGAGGAAAATATATTAAATGATGACGTCATTATGATGTGAAATAAATTGGACAACACTTGCTGTATGTGAAAGAGACACAGATCTTTTATGAATGATGACAATGAGTGTTTATTTATTATGATGTTTCCACAGAGCACTTCAGCTCCTCGACGAGGTACTGCACACGATGCCCATCGACGGTCCCCGGTCGACCATCGAGTAGGAGTTGATCGGCTTCTTTTGAGGCCTTCGAGCGAATGTCGCGCAACTGTCGCGCGACTCAAATGTGCAAGTTTGTTTCCGGACGACTTTGTGTCGCGTTCACGTGTAATGGAATATAAAGTGTTGGTGTTGTGAGATGTACAGTTTTGTGATCGTTGAAAACCGTTTAGTGTTGGTTTAATTTTGTTGCGTTTTTGTTTTTTTTATTGAGGTGTGTTACAACGGAAATTGTATGCATCGTAATGTGAAGTTTTTACGGTTTGAGTAAATCTCTTAAATTACCAAGTGCATACATACAGCGTGTTGCATAGCAATAGAAATGTCAATTAAACAGACGCAGAGGAACGTTGAAAAGATAAATGTGAGTAATACACCATTCTGATACAATAATAACAAGTTAGTTGCCATATTAATTGTTGTTGATTTATTTATTTTGTATTTTTTTATAATTCGTTTTCGGCTCTGTCTTCCAAAATTCGATTATTTTAATTGTTTGTCTTCCTTCAAAATTTATTTGTAAAATTATTATTTGGAAATTTTCGAAGTATCTGTTGGATCATGAAATGGTTGAAAGTATAAAGATTATATACATTAAAAGCTGACAATTTAAAAATATATAAATATATATTTTTTTCCAATACTTTCGTTATTACTATGACACTAAAGTTCAAAATAAAAATAAAGGGCACAGCTTATATTAAAGGAAAGAGTTATATTGTTATCGAATACAAAACGGTGTAATTATTATGCATATAATGTAAGAAGGCTCTAGAATGTATTAAATGTTATGAAACAAACTTTGCACAGTAAAGTAGGGATTTATCGCTCGCGTTTATGTAAAAAAGGTGAACTTATATTTATGTCTTGTATTTATTTATACTAAGTAAACATTTTGGCTGTATTGATAAATAACATAGAAATCAGAGAATACAAGTATTGATGACCAAAAAATAAAGTAATTCGTGAATTTGGGCTCAATGGGGCTTTTGGTGGGTGGCGCATTTACATTGTACATGTCCGTGGGCTCCAGTAACCACTTAACACCAGGTGGGCTGTGAGCTCGTCCACCCATCTAAGCAATAAAAAAAAGGAGTAATAATATTGCATACATTAATTGTTACACATTACTGAAAAAAAGTGAGTTAATAATGAAATTGCCCGTAACTAAATTGAACAAACAATATATTATTGGGGTGCAACTTTAATAATAATATAGGTGATCAGAGATCATATATTTTTCACAAGCAAATATAATTTTATATCATAAAATAGTGTATACTGGATTTGAGAATGAATATATTAATGAAGCAACAAAGAAAGATAAACATAGAAAAAAGGAATAAGGTTAATATTTTTTTACATTTGAAAACTGGAACCGTGATGCTTTGTAAATACCTCAATGATTCATACATAGTTCACACTAGAAAACTAATGATTATTGTATACTACAGTATCTATGCTCAAATATTACAAACATATGTTGTAGATATTTATTCAAATATTATTCATATTTTTAAACTTCAAGAAGAATTTATTAAGGAAACCAAAATATTGCATTTTTAATATTAGAATACTTTTACAACAATTAAATATGACAAGACATAATTATGGTTCAACTTGAAAGAAGCCAAATAAGAATTAGCTTTTCGTATGGTATAAGCTAATTTAGGACGTATAATTTATGTTTAGTGATGTAATGTGTCGATTTTGGAGTGTGTTATCGATACGCGCGCTGAGGCAAGGCTGTATTTTTGTTAGCGCGATGTGCCTAGTTAGTGGAGTTGCATGAATCTAATCGATTTTGTTTATCGATATTCAATTCACATTCATATTTTTTTAATTGGATTTATAGTAAATTGCAATGAATACTTTCATATTTATAATTTACTTTGTAATAGTCATGGTTTTACAGAGAAATCCACAATAATGGGTACTAAAAGTTCATGCAATTTCGCTAAATTGTTTTTCTTTCTATGATCTGTGATGTGCTAACAAAACGTGTTAGTTATGTATAGTTGGCGCGTAAGCGAAGAATGGCTATAAATTATTGTGTGTGCTAAGAAAATTGAAAAGGAATGCGTTTCGTTTTTCTCATTGGAGAAAAACGAACTCTCATGCTTTTCAATTAATACATTTAGGCGTTAAATAGTTTAAGAATAAAATGACATATTTTTGTGTACGAATCCCGCTGTAGGATATGTGAAATGTTATGATGCAGCTATTACACTTTCATGTTCGGTCAAACGGAACAACACAATATTGTCAGATTAATTAATAATTAATATTTCATTGATATATATTGATATATATATATTGAATCAATAATAAATATTAATTAATAATAAATAAATTAATAATTATCGTTTAGAAAGAGACATACAGAAGAAAGAGACGGATATATCGAAGCAAACAACGTCATCATAAAAATTATTTGATCCATTTATGCAATGATATTTTTGTATTAAAATCGTTTGTCGTACATTCGTCTCTTTGTTCGTTGGTGTTAAAAAAATCAATCAAATTAATCTCTTAATAGCTATTTGTTAATGCAACTTGAGATATATTGTAACTATACTGAGACCTTAGAACTCATATCTCAAGGCGGCATTTACGTTGTAGATGTCTATGGGCTCCGGTAATCACTTAACAACAGGTGGGCCGTGAGCTCGTCCACCCATCTAGGCAATATAAAAAAAGAGATGTGAAGGATGTGTGTGTGAATATTTTTAATGATATCTGGTGTCAGTACAGTCATAGACCACAGGTTCTCCGGTCTTCTTGACCGTTTGCCATATTTTTGAGTTCCAGGTAGAGCCCCTTTATTAAGGGACTTGAAGATTTCGGAGGTCCGAGTTTGGCAGTTATCAATTTCTTGTCACGGCCGTGGTTAATTGTTTAGTTAGTCACGATATTCGGCCACGTTGAGTTTCTCGTCGGATCTTCTCAGTGGATCGCGATTTCGATCCGGTGTTAGATTCAGCGAGCTACTGCTCTTGCTGGGGCCAGTTTAAGCAAGTACTCCCAGGCTGAGAACCGTGAGCTTCTCCTACCGAATCGTGAGTAATTGAAATAGTCTTTCGAGGCTACCAATGATTGGGTAGGAAAAAAAAAGTCCACCAGCACACTTATAGTTCTCTGTGACAAGACTCGGTCACATCATTTTGCTGTTCGTTTTCTGAGCAATATTTTCCGTAACCGTTTTTATGGGCTCCGATAACCACTCACCACCAGAAAGGCCATGAGCTCGTCCACCCATACTAGCAATAAATAAAACTTGGTTCCGATAAAACCTTTTTTTTTAATTAGACAGGCCTTTTTTTTAATGAATATGAAAAGTGTTTGCAAAGGAAATAGGGGTTGGCGGAATTCATGTTGTGAAGGTACACTACCTACTTATCCCCAAATTAGGCAATAAAATGAAAGTTATTTTATGTATTTTATGCTTGTTTGGGGCACTAAGATTCGATAGATTACGTTCAGTCCATACAATCCACTATAGGACACATCATACTGAACAAATGAGAGTGTAATACTGAATCAATAGAATATTGTAATATGAGATTCTTTTCTTGTCGTTTTTTTTCTCTTTCTTTTGTATAAGATATCTTTGCTTTAATTATTGTAATACGTAATTTACGTGACTGTGTGATTTGGTCTATGATCCTATTTTTTTTGGACGGTTGATGTTTATAAACATTGTGTTTTCTATGTTTAGTTTTAGTCTAGTTTTTGACAACATTAACACAGTTGAGTGTATTAAAGTCAATGTTTCATATAAAAGAATATCTTTCGGTTCGTGTATTATGCAATAATACTAGTCAAGGTTAAGCTGGATAGTGCTCTATGGATTCATCCAGCCGCACATTGTAAGACGTATCTGTCAGAAAGTGTTGTCAATCTTTTGATCCTTATTTTTTTTAAGTCTGTTTTTTTTATAGGTAAAATATAAATTTTGTTGGCAACACCAACGTTTTATATTGCAACACTGAAAAACCATTTAACTGTGTTCTTAGTTGTATCAAAAGCAAAACAAGCGAGCTTTGTCTACGACAAAATGTAATTTAGTCTCTAAAATTAGTCATATTTTTTTATTTTATTTCACTCAAATTCACAATATTATTATTTAAATCGAAACTGCAACATCACAAGAACTTATTTTGTTTCTGTTATTTACAATTAATTTATTCGATTGGTAATTACGTTTTAATTTTTGGTTACCATTTTCGAATATCGATTTTTATCGGTCAAATGTGTTTGCGAATTTATATTATATATTTCAAATATGTATATATATAATATTCAGATAAATAATGAAAAAAAATTATGAGTCGTTCTCATCTTAGAACAAAAAAAAAACTTAGAAACATTCGTTTAGAGTTTTTCTTATAAGAAAAGTTTTTCATAAAACAAAAAAAAAAAGTTCATCAAAATACCTCTCGCAAAGTGATCAAAGTGATACAAAAGGGTTTTTTATACGATATAATGAAGATAAGTGGTAAGTTTTTCCTCTTTAAATGTTGATGTTTTGAAATGAGATAAATATTTGACAGATTCTAAGTAAGATAACAGTTTTGAAAACGTTTTCAGAGTTGAAACTTTTATTATAAACGGTCATTTAATTAAACGAAATGCGATTCGTACTTCCGCAGCCGGTTTTTGTGTTCGCTCTTCAATTAACGTTCTTGAGTGCTCGCATTAAGGCGTGATTTTGCTTGAAAACTGGTACCCCTCAAACTGAAACATAACGAAATGTAGAAAAAGTTACGTATTTTTGTTCTTCGATAAAGGTTAATGACATCTTATTATTAAATAGAACTAATCTCATACAAGCGAACACGACGTCATGTGCTAGAAATGTTACAACATCGGTTGTTGCCAATTCAAAAAATTCTTGATTCAGGATCTTTAGGCTCGGGGCCAAAATTAAAGAGATATGAGCTTTCTGTCCATCTGATTCCGGTTGGTTGCCGGCGTCTATGGACAATGTGAAATCCACATTGGAACGTGAGAATACATTGACGGTATATCTCAGGGGTAGTAAAACCGGTTTATTATATGAATTCCAATAATTACCCAAATTTATTATTGTTTCACCGTACAATACGCTCCTGAATGCGTACTATATATCGGACCTTTAGAATTGAAATGAATTAATTGAAAATATTTGTTTTTTGGTAAGCGCCAAAACGTTATCGAAGAATTGTAATTTTTTAACCAACTTCAAAAAAGGAGGAGGTTCTCAATTCGACTGTATGTTTTTTTTATGTTTGTTACCTCATAACTTTTTACTGGGTGAATAGATTTTGATGATTCTTTTTTTATTAGAAAGCTGACGCTTCCCGTCTGGTCCAGTTCTGATAATGGTATCCATGAGAAAACCATATAAGTCTTAAATTTGTATTAAGTACGTGCGCGACAAATAGATGAATAACTCAAATATCACGCTAACCGATTTCGATGATTATTGTTTTTAGTGTATATTAATTTGTTTTGGAATATCTTTTTTTTCTATTTGAAGTCGGTTTTCGTTAAAGCATGTCTATTTACAATTATTATTTTTTCGATTTTAATACTTTAAGCGCTCTATTTAAAATAGTCGGAAAGAGTACTTATATCCTCTATGGACTAAAAGAGACTGGTTAATTTTATAAACTGATAGAATACCTACATGTTTATAAGACGTTCCCAGTGTAAAATTGATTTTCTTAAAATTTTTAGCTAAGAAACTGCAATTCTAAAAGTACGATATGTATTTATTTAGAAAGATTTGTACCTGCCGTCTGGATTGGTACTGTGGTGCTTCACAGTTCTGCCGCTACGGAACTTGTAGACCGTAGATTCATTTGCCATTGACTGTTATAATTTTGGAAGGTATTATAAATACTAATATACAAGACGTAAACTTGACTTTGCGGTTTTTTTCTCATTTATTTATTTATTACACTTCATGTAAAATTTACGTTGGCGGACTTAATGCCTAAGGCATTCTCTACCAGTCAACCAAAGGTAGTGCAGACTAAATAGTGGTAGGTGCAATGAAGCTGCATATTATTTGTTATTTGTAACACATGCATACATACATACAATAGTTTATACAGTATTAAAAGGAATATATTAATAAATTTCCTTAACAAATAACTTCATCTTAATAAGTTCATGACGATTCCGCTACCTTTTCCATTTAACATTACCAAGCTACTAATAAATAAGTGAAAGAAGTTAAGAAGAAAGGTTTAGCGTCTGTCACGGCTAGTGAAGTACGAATGGCATTTCCAAACATTATTATAATTGGTGTTATGACGAAGTATTCCAAAGTTAATGAATTTGTTGTTCAGATTAATTGAACTTTTCCTTTTACAAATAATAATAAAAAAAATTAAACTATTGGCGCTTTTGTAGATCCGCGACGTGTTTCTTGTTTAAAACAATTTGTTTGTATTCTTCATAGAAATGTGAAGGTAGTTTTTTATTTTACCATGATATTGGAACGAAGTTCTTATCGCGCGTTGTGAAAGGGGGCTAGACGGAAAAAATTCTTACGAAAAGTTGTCACGACACTTTAGATCCGTCATTCTGACCAACCAACGTGTAGGCGCTTATCGCGTGACATTGCTCGTATCCGATTGGTCCGCGTAATTAGTACAGTTTCTCGAGATAGCGTTTCAACAATAGTAATTTATTTCATAGTATTGTTTTTTTCTTCTTCATAATGCCGTAATTTATTATTATAACTTAAAAAAATAAATTACAATTCCTTCACTAATTAATCAAAAGGAACTTCGTTCCATCCGGGTGTTCCTTGACACCTCTGAAGTTTTTTTTTTTAGCTTCAATTTTGGGTCATTAGAATGTAACGTGAAACCATATATTTGTTGTGTTAATCTATGGATCGATTGGATGAAATTCGTGCAAATGGAAATAAAAAAATTGATTTTAATTATTTTAGAATATTGAAACTAGATTCTGCGATCGCTATGGTTAAAATCATTTACGACGTTAATTTATTGAGAATACTTGCTCGCCCATTGACGATGTTGCTCGCCCAGTGACGATGTTGTACCAGAAACCTTCGATTGTCATTAGATAAAGATACATATAAAGATAAAGAAGCCTTTATTAACAACCTTAATTCATATTTAGGTACATACTATTAATGTAATTTTTCTAAGCATTTAAACATCGGCAAAGATTGTTTTGCTTTCGCATTGTCATTAACAATGCACAAATAAAAAGTTCTTAACCCTTTTATGAATTGCGTACAGATTGAATTCTGTATAAATAATTAATACGATTGGATAATAATGACGACTTGTAGTCGGGGAAATAAATCGTCTTCTCGCATTAAAACTGTATAATCTAAAACTTACTAATTATTTTACAGGAGAGTGTTTTGAAGGTTTAACATATGATATTTTTAATAGTCATCATCTTTGCAACATTTATTTTTTATCAGTTACATTATCTGTCTATTAAAGTAAGATAAAATTATGTATTAAGTTTGTTAATAGTAGTCAAAACATAGGTAAACTAAAAAAACTACGCTCTATTGACAGTATTTATGAGAAAAATACTGGTGATGTCGAATGATTCCGCATATAAACT